AGGCCAGGGGCTGCCATGTCCTGCCCCAGTTCTCACCCAGGTGGAGTCCAGGGCTGGGAGCCCTGGAGGCAGAGAGGGTGGGGAGGGTGGGGGTGGGAGGGGTCTTTTTGCATAATTGACTGCTGGGGTTCTGGGCGGTGTCATCAGCTTGGCTGAGAGGAGTGGGGCCTGGGTTACCGACCACCCAGAGCTGCTGCCCCACCCCTCCCCCAGCCCTGGCTCTCTAATCCCGAGGTTTTCCCGAAGTCCTACCTCTGGCTGACAAATCAAGCCTGCAAAATTAGTTCTCATGTTTTCCCCCACTGCGCCCTGCCTACTTTGGGCGGATAGAGACCTAAGTTGGTGGGGGAAGTGGGCTGGCAGGCATGAGACAAAGGTTCAAGTCCCAGCACTGCCAGGAATTTGCTTGTGTGAACTCTAGGGAGGATCCTCTTCTGGCTCCAGCCTCAGTTTCCTCCTGTGGACAAGGGGGAAAAGGGAGCTCTGCTCAGACTACTCCTTCTTCCTCTTCCCAAGGACTCTCCACAGGTGGGGGGAAATTCTGTGTGTGTGCCCTCGTGCGGGAGGGGCGGCCTCTCCGTGGGAAGGGCGCCTTGTCAGGGCAGGTATCACTCCCGGCTTGTGCAGCGAGGGAGGGGCAGGCAGGCTGGCAGGGCGGGTGGGGCCCCAGCTGTGTCAGCCTGTGGAGTCGCCCAGGCCAGGAGCAGGAGGCAGGGTGACTCAGGTGGCAAGGGCTCACTCCCTCGCTCCCCTCCCCGCCAAAACCTCTCAGGAGGGAGGGGGGCTGCTTACGGGCAAGTGAGACCGGCTCCAGGACACTGTCCTAATGGTAGGAGCCTGTCCTGTTGGGCTCCAGAAGCCCTGGAATTGTACCTTGGGGGGCGTGGGGCGAGTAAGGGGGGCGACCTGGGGACAGACATTCTCTGAAGAGGTCCTGACCCTCCTCCAGCCTCTCCCTCCACCACCACTGGCTGCTGGTATCTCGCCCTCGCCTGTACTATTTCTGGCCTGTCCTATCTCTGTTTTCTTGTCTCCTGTTTTCCTTTTGACATTCCCATCCCCGCCCACACGCCTTGCAGTGAAGTGTCGCTGCAGCTACCTCTATAATTAAGAGCCCTCCCTGGCTGGGCACACGCCCGCAGGACCCAGCTGTGGGTAGCCTCTGGTCTCAGGCTCCTCCTGGACAAAGGGCAGCAAAAGGGGCAGGAGTCCGCCATCCCCCCACTGCCCTGTCCCTCCAGGGCCTCCCACCATCCTGCTGTGTACCCAGCTCTCCTCCGAGATGAGACGCTGGGGCCCACTCCAGCCAGCACACTGGGGGAGACTGAGGCTCTCCTGTGCTGTGTCCTCTCCCCAGCCCTGAGGGGTCATCCTGAGCAAGTCCTGCCCCCTACGGCTAGTTGGCAGGGGCAGGAGTACCAGTGGAGGCCACATACCACAGAGGTAAACAAGTTACAGAGCCAGCCAGCAAACTGCACATCAGCTATAGCGACACAAACGCCTCCACAGTGACCTGACAGGACAGCATGGGATTTAGCATCTTCAGTCCTTGTCAGGACATGGCAGCCCTGGGAGAACTGCTTCCTGGTCCCCAGTCCCTGGGCCATCTCACCTTCCCTTCCTTACACCTCTGGCCCTGCCCATACCCCAAAGGGCCTCCAGCATACACATGGAGATCCCCCAGCCCCCACGTCCTTGCTGTGTCCCGCCCCCCACCCCCACCACAACTGCCCCTGGTCACTGCTTCGGCCTGAGTGTGCACGTGCCACCTGTGGTGCTACCGTGCTTCTGGGGAGGAAGGACCGGCATCAGAGGCCTGCAGGCCTAGAAGGCAGGGGCCGTGCTGGGCAGGAACCCCGGAGTTTCTGGCACTGGCACCTGGACGTGGATGGAAGGGGTGTGGATTCTGTGTGGGCTCATCCCCTTTGCCCTGTGTGGAGGTGGGCGACGTGGGGAGGGCAGGACCCAGCACAGACGCCTCTTTCCAAGGTCTAGGGATGGCTCTGCCCCTGGGCTGAGAGGTGGCTCGTGCCCAAGACGCCTCCAGGATTCTACATTGCCTTTGTTTCAAGTCTGCTACCCAGGAAGAACTTCTTATTGTCTGTGTGTGTGTGTGTGTGTGTGTGTGTGTGTGTGTTGGGCAGTGAAAGCTGATGCATCTGGTGTTTGTGTGTCTGCATCTGCACCCATGAGTGTCTATCCCTGAGGTGTGAGTATAGAAGGGTGTGTGTGTGTATATATAGCTCATGTGGATCTAAATCTCTGGTGTCTCTGGGGAAGAGGCCCCCGCAGAATAAGGACTACATCCGAATAGAGAACAGAAACTCTCCTGCTCCTTATATGGCCTAGAGGACTCACGCAGGATGAGGGAGGGGGTGAGCTGAGTGGGGAGGGGGACCCTCCAGTCCTGGACACTGGCTCACATGTGCACCTTCCCTGGGATAGTGCCGCCCCTCCCCTACCAGGCCCCTGCCTCCCAACAGCCCCTGGCAGGATCCCTCTCCACCAGTTACTCTGTCTGTGGGGCAGCTTGGGCCAGGCCACTGGTTCCCTTTCAGTCTTCACTCTGAGGCCCCAGAAAGCTGCAAGGTTGTGTTAGCCCTATGTTGTTGCCAGTCCCCAGGGCTCTGCTTTCACTGAGCTCCAGGTCACAGAAAGGACTTATTTAAGGTGCAGGAATGTGCATTGGGGGGGACATCAGAAGGCACTCACCACTGACGGAATAAGGGGACAGGGGCGTTCATTCTAAGGAGGGAGAGTCTCCTTCCTGGAGATTTGTCAAATGGAGAATTCCTGCCTTTAAAGGTTTGGAGGCAGGGGACTGGATAAGATGGCTTTGTGGCTTTTCCTTCAAGATCGGGCTATAGGGGAGGCTGTGGTCACAGCCACTCTCATCCTGATCTGTAGGTACCTCCTTCTCCTATGGGACCATATCACCCATACAGACAGCTGATTCCAGGAAACACCATTTTCTGTTTCTTTTCCGTATGCTCAGATACAGGTGAATTCTCAGTGCCAGGCAAGCACATAGTAGGTGCTTAATAAATGTGCAGACAATCCCTTCATCTGGGACACAGCTCTGATCTCGTGGTGCCTCCACCAGTCCCAGCCTGTGTGCTCAGCTTTGGGGTTAGCGTGTTGCAACGAGTTCTGGGCTAAGACATGCAGGGGCATTCTGGGGACACACACACACACACACACACACACACACACACACACACTTTATTCCAAAGCCTTATTTCTGCCCCTCCACCCACACTCAGGCTCCTCCACCCCTCGCTGCAGTCCACCAGCCCTACCCTGCCTGTTTGCTGAAGTCAGGAGAAAGGAGAGGGCGCTAAGCCAGGCGTGGGGCTGGGAAGTGTGTGTGTGTGTGTGTGTGTGTGTGTGTGTGTGGAGGTGGGCCGGAGGGGGAGGGAATGAAACCCCTGCAGGGAAACTGGCAGGGCAATGGCAGGTCTAGGACTTCGAGCTCTTTCTCTCCCAAGCTGTGCATGGGCCCACTGGCCACTGCTCTGTGTGGCAGTGTGGGGGTGGGGGGCAGGGGTAGGTAGCAGTAAGATACAGAAGTAAGCTGGGGGACAGAAGTCAGGGAAGAAAGTGAAGAGCACTGTGTAAACTGGCTTGAATGGATTCTGTTTGCAACTTGGACAGATAAAATGAGATTGTTGTGTAAAAAAAAAAAAAAGAAAGAAAGAAAGTGAAGGGCAGTGGCCCTGGCATGTGGATGGCAACTGGCTCAGGAATGTCAATTATCTCCCGGCCCCCTCCAGGAAGACTTCTTGGATGGCACAACTTCAGAAGGGAGAATGTTCAACCATCGTTCCTTTCTCTGGTGGGAAAAGTAGTCAAGGATGTTGCAGGGGTGGCTCCACCCAGCCCATCCCATGTGCTAGCTTTGGGCTAGACAGCTTTTTTGAGGGGGGACCCTTTTCTTTCTTTTCCTTTTCTTTTTTTCAGATGCAGGGTCTCACTCTGTGACCCAGGCTGGAGCGCAGTGGTGCGATCATAGCTCACCACAGCCTCCTGGGCTAAAGTAAGCCTCCCACCTCGGCCTCCCAAGTAGCTGGGAGTACAGGTGCGCGCCACCACGCCCAGCTGAGGGGAGATCCTTTTCTACACCAGCACTCAAATGGGTTGGGATTATTATTATTATTTTCTGTGTCATCTGGTTCAAACCCAGCGCCTAGCATACAGTTGGTGCTTAATGCTCATGTTGAATGAATGAATTTCTGTAGGCCCCTTGGCACACTGTACAGCCATCAGCAGCATTCATGCCATCAACCACAGAGCGGAGATACCCTTGTTTTTTTAAGCTGCCTTTGGGAAGTTCTTTCTGATCTCTAACCCAGGCTCTTCCCCTGCGGAGGGGCGAGTTGCCCCATTTCTCTCATGCCAGTGCTTGATTTCCTATGGATCTGCTGCCCCAGGTTTTCCAAACCCACCAAAGCCTCCTTATGCCAACACTTTATCTTTGTATTAAATTATTGCTCTTGTGTCTCTCCTTGGAGTATTTGTTTGTGCCTTTTCCCTGACCCTTCCGTGCCGCTTTGACACTTTATGTCTATACGAGGAGAACATGTGGTTTGGTGGATCTTGAAATTAGAAAAAAGGGGTTCTATTTTGGAGTGTGCCTCTTTTTAGTTTTGTGACTTCTCCAAACTTCAGTTTCCTCATCTAAAATGAGGATTGTTTTCTTGTCCTGGCAAATTTTCAGAACCGTCATGAGAATTTTAAAATCCCATACCATTAATTTAACTTCTAACCTTTTGCAGTTGTCCAAGTGCTTTTACAAACCTTATTTCATTTAATCCCCACACATTCCAGTGAGATAATATGGGCTAATTGCCCAATTTACAGATGAGAAGAAACAGAGTGAAGGGTCAAGTGACTTGCCTGAGATCATAAAGCTACTACTAAGTGGCAGAACCCAAACCCAAGCCTTTTAATTATAAAAGTAGTATCTTTGGGGGAAAAATCCCAACACAGCACAAAGCCTGTGAAGTGCTACACAAATATGTTATTACTACTTTGGGGCAAGGCTGAATAAGTCCAAAGAAGCATCATGCCTGACGACGCTGAGTCGGCTGGCTGGTGAAGGCGTCTGTCCTTTCCCATGGTGGCCCCTGACTCACCTGTTGGACAGGTAGGGGGAAGGGAGAGTAATGAGTCTTACCTGCTCAGAGCTGGGGTGGGGCAAGACACACCCCATCCTTTCCATTGGTTCTTTCCTTATTCTTACTGACAGCCCCTTGTCCAATCAGGAGGAAGTAACTTTCTATTTGCCAATAGGTGCAGCGTTAGGATGGGACCTCAAGTTGGAGTCCATCCCCAGAGCCGACTGGCAGTCCCTGGGGCCAATGGCGAGCGGATAAACATAGGCGGCCGTGAAAGAGGACTGGGCACGAGGCTCCGCCCCTCGATGGGACAGCCAGGCGAGGCAGCCTGTGAGTTCGCATCAGCGGGTGGGCGTCTCCTTCAGGGGCGGAGCTTCAGAGGGGCGAGGGGCGTGGCTTGGCTGTCAGGTCCCTTCGCCTTTTGTTCGGTTACTGAGTTGCTGCCTAGGCCAGAGTCCGGAGCAGCCGCCGCCCGAGCGCGCCGAGCTCAGTTCGCTGCCCGCGCCGGCTCCCACCCGGCCCGACCCCGATCCGGCCCGGCCAGGCTCCACACGTAGGTGCGGACGACCAGGGGGCAGGTATCACTGGGGAGAGGGAGCGGGCGGCGAGCGGCCGAGAGGCCGGTCCCAGCGGTCTCCCGGCAGGTGAGGGCGGGTGCCAGGGAGCGCCAGCCTGCACCGGCGGCAGGGGGCGCGCTGGGGTCCTGGGCGCTGCGACTAAGGGGGCGCGCGGTTCGGGAGAGCCCGCCGCGGGGCTCCGGGAGCGGGAGATCCGAGAAGAGCGGAGAGCGATCAGATCAGGTACCTCCGGGGTCGCCCCTCTCCCGGACCCGCGGAGCCCGCCCAACGCCGTGTCCCAGATTCTCGCCCTGAGCTGGCAGGGGACACTTTGACCGGCTCTGTCTGCGTCCCAGGGCTCACTCTGCAGTCGGGGATTTACCGTTTGGGAAACTTGCTTCCGCTGATCTCTTTGGGGCCACCCTCACCCCATCCCACGCGTCATCCTCGCTTTCCCTCCCTCCCTACTCCCCCAGGCCTGGGTGGGGCCCTATTGTCTGCACCCAGCTTGCCCAACTGTGGGGGCTGAGCACACATTTTCCCAGCGACGCTGGCCTCACCTGCCGAGCAGGTGAGCGCACAGAGTCCAGAGGCCAGCTCCCAGAGGCTGGTTGATATTACCTGCGGCGCCTCCCTCGCCTCGCGTGGGTGCTGGGCTATGGCTCCTTCAGCGGATGTGGGATGGGGTGACAGTGGGGTTGGTGCAGGGCCCGGCTCAGTGCCCAGCTGGTGCCTGGCATCCGTGGCTCGGACTGGGGTCTGGGAGGAGGTGTCTGTGCATGGGTGGAGAATTCAGGGCCACCTGGCCCAGTTTCCAGTAGCTGTGGCTTCCAGAGTGTTGGTGTGGGAACAGGACTACCCTTCTTCCCTAACCTCTTATTGTTGGAAAAATCACCCAAAACAAACTTTGCAGAAGGAAGTACTCACGACAGCTTTCTCTTGGGGTTTTCCTGTCTCCTAGTCCAGAGCTTCCTCTAGGCTTAGGGGTCCCTCTTAGTGCAAAGCCCCCTCCCCCAGCCGGCCCCAGGCTGAACCTGGGCCAGTGTCTGCGCTCTGACCCGGTCCTCCCTGCCCCCACCTGCATCCCGTTTGCTGGGCCCCTGGGACCTGAGGTGGGGGCCGGGGTTGGGGGGGGAGGGCCGAGAGGGGAAGCTGCTTCTTCCGTCTCTTCCTGCCTCCAGGGACCACCACACCCCCTCGGAGGAGGCCTGCCTGCTAGTGGCTCTCTCTCCCAAGCTCTGCCCCCTCCCCAGGAATGGGGGGGCGGGGCCCGGCCAAACTGTGGAAGGTGGAGGGAGTGGTTGTTCTTTTCTCTACCCCACCCCCTCCTTACTTAGCCAGCTGGTAATTGAGGCTGTGGGGCTTGCTTGCCTTCTGATTTCTGAATTAGAAAGGTGCGTGCTTTCTGGAGCCTTCCTAGACCTTTCGCCACCCCCTTTTCTGAGAGACTTTGACGGCGAAAGTGGGACAGGAGGATGGCTTTTTTGGGGGAGGTTCCGTCAACACTAGACTCCTTCGGGCAGAGGTGAATCAGGCTTCCAACTCCTCTGCCCCCAATTTTCTAAGAGCCCTATCTGACTCCCTGCCAGAAATAGCCAGGCTTTCTATACCAGTTTGTACAAACCAGAGTGTGGTCTTTTCGTAGGACTTGGAGCCCAGCCCCCTTGGGGGACTGTGAGAGCCAGTTTCTCCTTCAAGTCCTGGGTGTGGAAGGAAGATGGGAGGGGGGATCAGCCCAGCTGGGGCAGGGGTGGAGAGCCTACCACCTCCTTTGGTTGTAGATGGGAGAGTGGGAGAGCACCAGACCCACTCCCTTGGAGTGTCCTGAGTAGGGGTCAGGTTCAGCCCTGGGCTAGGGGGCCGCTGAGGTAGGAACCCAGGCCCTGGGGGGAGGGGAAGGGGCCTGCACCCCTGGGGAACTACAGGGGCATGGAGTTTGGGCAAAAATAACCTGTTTTCCCTCCTCTTCGAGCCAATATGGAGGAGGGGAAGACCTTGTAATTATGCTGGCTAAATGATTAATTTAGCTAATCTGGTTTGTGGCTGTGATGAAAAGATAATACTGAGGAAGTATTGCTAGGAGGTGCCTGGTGAAACTGGCCACTGACTGGACTCGAGGGGGAGGGGAAGAAGGTAGGATCCAATTAGTCATTTCTTGCTAAGATCAAGCCCCAGCTTGGGTGACATGAGGCCTCTTCTCCCCACTCCGACCCTCCCTCGCACCCCAGCTCCACCCATTCCCTCTGGAGCCTCCATTGGGGCTGGGGCTGCCACAGCTGGGTTCTGAGAATGCAGTGTGTGGGAGCCAAGGGCAGGCCAAGGCTGGCAGCTTTTTCCCTTCCTGGAGGCCCATGGGGTGGGTACCTAAGACCGAGGTTTCTCTCTACGAGGAGCCACCTTAGAAAGAGATGGGAAATTGACTAGCCTACAGAGGGCTGTTTATCTGGAGAGATGGTATAGGGGGCTGAGCTGGGTCCCAGCTCTGCTTCTCATTGCCTGTGTAGCCTTAACTTAAGATCAAGGAAAGACTTTAGACACCAAGCACCTTCATGAACTGTTCTCACTTATTCCTCATGGCTGTCTCTGGAAGCTGGTATCATTATCTCTTTTCTACAGATGAGGAAATTGAAACTCAGGGAAGTTAAGTCACTTGCCCAGGGTTGCACAGCTAGATGCTGAGCAGAGCCAGGACTGGCATTTGAGTTCTCTGGGGCTGCAAGCCTAGAGCCCATCCTGCTTCATTGCCCCACTGAAGTTCTAGAAAGGACTTTTCTGCCATCCAATTTTGAGAGTCTCTGCTTGATGGAGGAGTAGAGAATTCAGAAGTGCCCATAAAAGTAGGTGTGGGTGGTGAAGGTGGGAGTGACTCAGTCCTAGCCACTGCCCTCTGAAGCCTCCCCAATGGCTTGGTTTTTAGTTCCTGGTGGAGGGGGCTTTGTCCCTGAGTCTAGGGGCTGTGGCAGTTGTTTGGGGGAGGTTGGGAGGGAAAGAGGAGGGGAAAGGTCAAAGCCCTGCTGCCTCCTGGTTTGAGCTGGGTAAAACCATGGCTGTTCTGGGCTTGTCCCTATATAGGAAGTGGGAGTTGCCTGCTTTGCTGGGGCTGGGGCTGTGCCAGGATAAGGGGGGGGCTGCTCCCTGGGGAGTGGAGAGAAATGAGAGTCAGATTTAGGCTTAGGCTAATGCCCTGCTGGGTTCCACCAGTCACTGCTGCCAGGTTGCTCTTCGTGGGGAACTGGCTGTCCCCATGCTTTGGAGCCCAGGAGACCAGGGGTAGGTCGCTTGCTGGGAGGGCCTTTCTGGTGACAGGGTGGGGGTCATGGGTGCTGTCTGTCAGCCTGAGCCTTTGCCCTTGAGGGAGGAGCTGGCGTCAGATTGTCCTCTCAGACCTGCCTGGCTCTGGCACCTCTGCCAACTGGGCAGCTGACACCAGAATGGGCTTGGAAATGGGGCTTGGGGAATGGCTTCTCCATACGTGATGGTGCAGCCTGAGCCCCGAGCCTGTCACCAGGCTTACACATCCCTTGACAGCAGGAGGGGACCCTAGGCATGGGGATTATTGATCCTGGAGAAAGCTAAGGGGACTTGAGGTCGAGACAGTAGGAAAGAGAATGAGCTCAATCCCAGCTGACTGCTACAAAGAGGGGGATGGGCTTGCAGTTTCTGTCACCCCAGAGGACACAGGATCGATTGGGACTGATGCTCTTATAGAAGGAATGGAGGCGAGACAGGGGGAAGGACTTCTTGTCTGCTAGAGATGAGATCGAGTTGAAGAAGAGTAAGAGGGAGGGGTGGGGGTCCAGGACAGAGGCAGGCAGTACTCACTACCTTTTGGGGTGAATCTGAGACCTACTGGGGTCCTTAGGGAGACTTCATCTTGCGTCTTTTGAGAGAAGAGCGACATAGCAGTGAGAGGGAGAGATATCTGTGAGCAGGCTGGCCCAACCCCTGTGAAGAGGAAAAGCAGTGTGGTTGGCTAGGTATCGGAGCTTGAGTCACTGTGAGTGACACTGTGAGACCTCTCTCTTGGGACATGGTTGGATCTGGTGGAGGTCTAGGGACATGGACTGTCCCATTTTCCAACCAATTCCTTGGCCAGGCCTGAAGAGAAAGCTCAGGACAGGAAGCTCACTCAGCTTTCTGTCTTTCCCCACTATGGAGACAGTAGCAGGGAGGGGGGCAGAGTTGGGACAGTGGCTGGGCAATCAATAAGCTGCTTATCTAGGGGTGACTCTCCCCTCTCCCTTGATTGAAAAAGTAATATCTGATCATTGTAAAAAAAAATTCGGAAGTTTATGCCAGGTGCAGTGGCTCACACCTGTAATTCTAACACTCTGGGAGGCCGACATGGGAGGATTGCTTGAGCTCAGAAGTTTTAGACCAGCCTGAGCAAGAGCAAAACCCCGTCTCTGCTAAACATAGAAAAATTAGAAAAATTAGCCAGGCATGGTGGTGTGCACCTATAGTCCCAGCTACTGGGGATGCTGAGGCAGGAAGATTGCTTGAGCCCAGGAGTTTGAGGTTACAGTGAGCTACGATGATGTCACTGCACTCTACCTGGGGTGAAAGAGCAAGACTCTGTTTCAAAAAAAATAAATAGGCCAGGCACTGGTAAGGTGGCTGACACCTGTAATCCTAGCACTCTGGGAGGCGGAAGCGGGGGTGTGGGTGGGTGTAGGGGGGTGCGGATCGTTTGAGCTCAGGAGTTCGAGACCAGCCTGAGCAAGAGCGAGACCCTGTGTCTACTAAAAGAATAGAAAGAAATTACTTGGACACCTAAAAATATATAGAAAGAATTAGCCGGGCATGGTGTTACATGCCTGTAGTCCCAGCTACTCGGGAGGCTGAGGCAGAAGGATCGCTTGAGCCCAGGAGTTTGAGGTTGCTGTGAGCTAGGCTGATGTCACGGCATTCTAGCCCGGGTAACAGAGTGAGACTCTGTCTCAAAACAAACAAATATAAATAAATAAAGTAAAAATAATTTTTAAATTTTTAAAAATTAAAAAAATAAAAAGTTGGGAAGTTTAGAAAAGTTTGAGAGAAGAAAAAAATTGCTCATCATCCCAACTCTGTAAGGCAATTTTCTCTAAGATTTTTTTCCCTTCTATTAGCATCCTTTTGTTCTTTAGCCTGTGTCTTGATGAGCTCATGCTCTGTATACAGTAGCAAATTTTAAGCAAATCTTTATTTAAATCGTGATGTTCTCCAGCATGTGTTGTACAGGGATCTAGTGAAAATAAACAGGCGGGTTTTTCCTGCTCTTCCAAGAGGGGGTCGGGCAAGGATCTGACACAGCCGGCCCTCTGCTGTTGTTTCCTGATGCGGGTGAAGTGTTTTTCCATTCCCAGGAGTCCTGGTTGGGGTCATCTGCTGGTTTGGGATCTGGCCTGCCCAGGGTCACCGACAGGGAATGGCATTCTAGCTGGAGCCCTCTCCAGGGAGCACAGGGGTTCCCGAGGTGGAGCTACTTGTCCAGGGCATTTCCCTCTCCTACAAACCCCCTTCATTTTCCCACCCGGGTTTGTTTGTTTTGGGAAGGAGCCCAGAGGGAAGAAAGCAAACAGTCTCTGGGGCCTGCAGGTCTGAGCCTCCCCCAGGCCCGGCTGGCCTGGCCTGTCCTCAGGCGACAGTGCAGGCTGTGCCCCAGACTGGAAGTGAGGGTTTCCTCCGGAAGCTTAAGACCAGCTTCTCTGTCCTGTCTCCTGCTTCCATCTCTGCCCTCTTGGAGTGGCCAGTCTGCCAACGGAGACCACGATGTCTGCCAGAGAATCTCCAGTCTGCGAGAGGGTCCCTCGGGGGCCGCCAGCCAGAGGAGAGAGACCTGCTGGGAAGCCCCAGCCTGTGGGCTGGACAGGCTCTCTAAGGAAGCGGTCCTGTCTGTCTCTGCACTTTCTAGAGCCTGCTTGTGTCTGTGCTTGGGACTGCTGGCTAGATCATAGCAGGAGCCTGCTGAGCCCAGCCTCCCCGGGGCTGCTGTGTGGGGACTGCCCCCGCCTGGCTGGCTGCAGGAGACAGCACTGGCCACAAGGGGGACAGCTCAGTGTCTCTGCTCCTCTGCCAGCACCCAAACTTCATTCCTCCCCCCAGCACTGCCCCCCACCCTCCCCAGGGGCTCTGGCCTGGGGCTGGGAAGCAGCTTACCACCTAGCCTTCATCTGAGAGGTCAGAGAAAGAAGCCTGGGTCTTGCCCCCAAAGCAGGCTGCCAGCCACCTTGCCAGCCACCTTGCCAGCCACCTGTCTGTGCCAGCCTTCTCCTCTGCCATCTCTTTGTTCTCTGATACAAGGATGCTTGCCCGAGCCTTGCCTGTGGACAGAGTCCTAGTGAAAAAAGTAGCTTGATTGTCTCCATTTTACAGATGAAGAAAATGAGGCTTAAGGAAATCCAGTAACTTGCCCAACGGCACACAGTCGTGAGTGGTGGGGCTGGATGGAACCCCTCTCCCCACTCTGAATCCCACGCTCTTCTGCCCGCCCTCTGTCGTTGCCTGAGCCCCAGGGTCTGTGTCTGCACAGGATGCTGGTCTCTGGCCTGGGGAACCTCTGGGGGGTCCAGCCCCACCCTGCTCTTCAGTTCTGTGGGCAGCCTGTCCTTGTTGTGTCTCCAGGTGTCTTATTGACATTTGCCACCCTGTAGCCCAGCCCACTGTGCCCGTTACTGACTGTCCCCGGCAGGTGCTGGCTGGGGCAGGAGCCAGAGGTAGCTCTGCTGGGGTTATTTTTAATGTCAGGGCTGGGCTGCACTCTGCTAGGACAGTCTTGGATTTAGGGTGCCTGGTGCGGAGGAGGAGGCAGGAAGGAGGGGCAGGGTTCACCCCAAGCAGCCTCCTTGCCTGCTTGCAGACTCAGCTGGTATGGCCTGCAGTGGAAGGGTCCCCTGCACCCCTCTCCAGGGCCCGTCTGCTGTCTTCCTATCCTTGAGCTCTCCCTCGCTCCACCCTGTGATCTCAGAGCTGGCTTCTTCCTCCTGTGCTGCCAACAATAGAGCGCACTGCTAAACAAAGGCCCCCCATTCAACTCAGAAACCCGCCCTGTCTCTGTCCCTGTCTGTCCCTGGCTGGGGCGTGTGGGCAGGGCCTGTGTCTGTTTCTCCCGCTTCCACCCGAGCTCTGTCCAGGGGCGCTGCGGAAGGTCTGACTCCAGGTCTGGGGTGGAGAGGGATGAGACCAAACTGGGTGCGGTTCCTTCCACCCTGGGAGCTGTGAAACAAGCACTTTTGTTTCTTGTGGGAGAATTTCCGTGGTTCTCCTGGGGAGTAGGTAAGGAGAAAGGTGGGGCTGGTTGGCAGTCCTGCCTGAGGTCTGACTTCAGCCTTCCTGTTGCAGGAATAGCTCTCCCCACGGTCCTTTCCTCAAGAAGAGTCCTGGTGTCTGCCCTCTCTCTGAGCCTCTTTCCAGCTTTGACCTGGCCCACCATCAGCCTTCTCGTGTCTGCCATGGGAATCCTGGTTCCTTTCCCTAGAATCTTAGACATCAATGTTCCTTTGCCATCACCTGGGCCACCCTTTCTGTAGATGAAGAGGGAAAGTCATTGCTCAAGGACACCCAGCAAGTTTGTGGCAGAGCTGAGACTAGAACCTGGGATTCTTGATTTGCAACTGGGTGCTTTCCCCCCATCTGTGAGCACCTTTGGCCTTGTCAGCCCCCCTACCCTTGGCAAGAGGGCTCAGCTCCACCCAGTCTTGTCTAGTGGCCTGGGTGCTGGTCCCACTGGGAGGCTGACCTGGATTTGAGCAGGTGTTACCATTTTCTCAGTGTGGAGCCAGCTTCCTTACCTCAAAATTGGGACTAGAAAAATGCCTGCCAGGGTTGCTTTGAGGGAAGAGTGAGATTTGATAATAAAGGCCACTGCACCCCATGCCCAATGGCATCCTTTCACCTCTGCGTGGCCTCTCTGTGTCCCTGGGCAGCTGTCCTGCACTCAGGGTCTCTTGGCTGCAGGCTTGGGCTGGTAGGGGTGCTGAGGGGCCAGCCAAGGAAGCTCCTCCTCACCTGGGGGCCAACCCCAACCTTGGTGGTCCCTTTCAACATGGGGCTGGCAAGGAGGTGGTCCCTGTGGTTTGGGGTTAGGCACCGTCTCTATGTCTCTTCTCCGGTTAGCATGGGGTGTGTTTATGGACCAGGGTTGGAGATGTCGAGTTAGTCCACCGTCTTTCCTGATGTGTGGTGGCACCGTCCTTCTCAAGTGCTTGCAAGTCCAGTTTGCTCTCTTCTCCCTGGGGCGGCGTCTGTGTCTCCTCCATTTTCTCTTGGGACACGCCCTGG